GCGGGCGCTGCCCGACCCCGCCGGGAACGCACGGCTGCGCGGGCCGCGGCTGCGCCGAGCTGCGGAGGTCAGGAGAGCTCGCCCCCGGGAAGGCGAAGTCACCGGCTGGGACTGGGATCTGCAGAAGTGTCACCCCCACCCCAAGGAAAGCAGCCACTCCTTGGAGCTGTCCCTCCAGCACCGCTCGCCGCCAGCCTCCCGCCGCCACCCTAGGCACGCAGCTCCAGAAAGGGTGGGTGGGTGGGTCGGGAAGCTATGTTGCACCAACCAGGTTCCTATATTTTTCTCCCGTGAAGCTCTGTCCTCGCCCTCTCTCGAGCTTCTCACCGCCGTATTTACACACCACTCTCCACTCCCCTCCTCTCACCCCTCCCAACAAGTGAGAGAATCTAAAACCAGTGCATTTTTTTCTTAATGACAGCTGACAGGAGAGAAAGGTCTGCTTACAGGAGACAATGAATCGTGTTTCCTGTGTCCTGTGGCTGTGACTGCTCTTTTCGGCCAAATGTTTGTCTCCAGCCACTACATCAAGGGTTGTGTAAAGCAAAAGAAGTTTAGAAAGTTTATTCCAGGAATATAATGCTCTGAAGAGTAAAACTTCAGGCTTCTATGTCAAAAGCTAAAGGCATGAGCTATAGACACTCAAACAGAAGAGTCATTCTTAAATAAGCCAATTTCTACCTTTCTCGAATCTTTCTTGGGTTTTTAATTTGCTAGTGCTGACATAAAGACGTGGCTTAAACAGCAGACATCTACTGTGGCACAGCTCTGCAGGCTAGAGGTCCAAGATTAAGGTGCCGACAAGCTCAGTATGTTGTGAAGATTCGAGGAAGAAACCTGCTAGAAGCCTCTCTCACTGACTTGTAGATGGTCATCTTCTCTCTGTGATTCTTCAGGTCACTCTCTCTGTACCCACGTTGTGCCCAAATTTCCTTATTTGGTAAAGATACTAGTCATATTAGACTTACTTGACTTTAATATCACCACTATAAAAACCCTATCTCCAAATAAAACCACAGTCTGAGTGCTGGAGCTTAGGACTTGTAATACATTACTGGTGGGAAGGTCCAACTTAAATCAACCCTCCCCACTAAATAGTGTGTCTCTATGTGTATTCTGAGCATAAGAGAGAGAGAGAGGGCCTATTCCATAGGCATAGCCTGTTGGGATTGTTATCCACCAAGTAGGAAAATTACCAGAATGTAAGGGAAGGAGATCTCTTTGAAAAACAGGTGTTGCTATTAATGTTTTTGCTTGGAAAGATTAAAAGTTATGAGTAAAATTAATAAGAAAGCTTTAACAATATAGTGGACTTTAAGGTAGGTGGTGAAATATCAACAGCTGAACAAATCAGACACATATTTGCTATAAATGGTTAGGTAAACAAATGAGCTAAAATGTCTTTGGAAAGTTATGAATGCTTGGACAAAAGTGTGAGAAGATGTGGTGTGTATATATATTGATAATAAAATGAGTAGCCCACACATATAATCTCAGCACTCAGAGAGGATGAGGCAGGGGAAATCACAAGATGAAGCAGAGCCTGGGCAACTTAGTGATTTAGCAAGACTCTGACTCAAAAATGTTTAAAACCCCAAAGGGTTAGAGACTAACTCAGTGCAAAGGCCTTAAGTTCAGTCCCCAGTACAAAAAAAGAAAAAAAAATTACTGATATTATGACAATTATGACAATGTAAATAAGAATGCAAATATAAATATGGCACAAACATTTGAGCTGTCAGCATACACAGGAAAGCACAGGGCTTGAATGCCGAAGGAATTGTCCTAATTTTGCACAACTGTCGATCACTGAGGAATTTCTAAATATATCAGTGATAGCAAATTTCAACTGCTAGAAAAGTTACAGGCAAAAAGTATATCCAAGTTCTGATATGTATTTTCCTGTTGTTGAAATAGTTCCTTATATTGTTTACCTCTGTAAATTTAGTGAGGACAAAAGAGGCATATGATTTTCTGAAAATAAAGTACTAGTATTAGCAGGAATGGAAGCATTTATACTAAGAGATAACTTATACCATGCTCATGCTATATGCAAAGTAGTTGCTATAAATTTCCTTTTCAACTTAAATGGAGGAAATAGTCACATTAAGTTACAAGACTATAGAAAGATAGCTCACATATGGCGGAGGTCACTAACAAGAGCCTTTCCTTTCTAATAGTAAAAGTTATTATGAGGGATCTATGCAGGAACCAAAAAGAAGAGAAAAAAATAGTGTAAATGATTCAGGGAAAAAGAAGTGCAACCCAAAGGCCTAATGATTCAATTCAGGCCTAATGTTATATAAGCTATCTAGAAATAATCACGTTGACGGGAGAATCACACATTAGAACCCAGACTTGTGCTTCTTAAAGAATCAGATGTAAAATTAGAGAACATGACAGACAAGTTTGAAAATAAGAAAGTGAGAGTGATAAGAGAATAAAATGTTCCTGTCAAGGGAAAATTGACATGCAGAGCAATGGATGAAATACGGTCGCATTCTTTCCTGGTCAGTGTAAGAGGGGAAAATTCTAAGACAAATATCCAAACTTCATTTTTTAAAACAGGAGAGAACAGAAAACCCCTCCTGCCAACTCACTCCCCTGATCCTGCTGTAAAATTCAGATAAAAGCTTTGAAAGATGATGATGGAAAATGGGAGGAAAAAACAGTTGTGGTTTCCTTTGTGGACTGCGAGAGCAAAGATTTAAAAGACTGGTGGATAGGACCCCTTGCAGGGAAACAGCTAAAATGTTGATTCTTTTCTATTCTGGATTCAGGATCACAGAAAGCTTTGGACATTGAGCACTACATCACCATCCGAAATATGGATTGATCTCCCAAAGCTGCCCTGTAATTCAGAATGGCATCCTTGTAAAATAAAATTTGAGCAAAGTAACTCACTTAAAATCTAAAGTGAGAATTTTAAAAGAATTATTCACTTATAAAGTAATATACTCATAAAAATTCCTCCCTGTCAGTGATCCTAATTTTCCACCCTATGGATAAGCTCCTGGTACAAAGCTCAAAACTAGCTCAATTAGTCAAGATTCCACCCGTATGATGACACTGAATTTTAGGATCCTCATAGTAAAGCTGCACCCTTTTCAAATTATTCTCATTGGCCAGACGCAACACCTATATTGCTAGCCTGCACCTACAACCCCAGCACTGAGGAAAGGATGATTGCCATGAGTTACGGGCCAGCCTGGGCTACACAGAGAATTCAAGGCCAGCCTGACCTACAACAAGACCCTATTTTAAAAAGAAAAGAAACACAAACAAAAAAAAACAACAACAAAAAAATTATTCTCACTCAAAAATGTAAATTTTAACCATTTCTTTTAAAAACTAACTTGGTCATTTTAGTCCATTGAATGTTGCCTTGCCAGAATGTCTGAGACTGGATAATTTACAAAGCATGGCAGTTTATTCTCTCACAGTTCTAGATGTTGGGCCTTCCACAATGAAAGTGGACATCTGATGTGGGCCTACTCACTATTATATCCTCACATGGCAGAAGAGCAAAAAAAGATCCCATTTCCCTAAGTTTTTTTCATCACAGCATTATTCTGCCCTCGTGGTGCAAACACCTCACGAAAGGTCTCATCTGCCAGCCCTGCCACATGAAGGATCAACATTTCTACACATTAATTCAAGAGGAAACATTCAGAACATAACCTTTAGGCAATACAAGTCTTTCGACCCAAATTAATTACTTGTGATGATTTTGTCAAGATAGACCTATATATGATGAATTTATGGACTACTAGTTTTAAAACTTAACAATTTGATATGTAAGGAATATATCCTGCATTAGTTGTCAAGATCTAGAGGCTCTTCATAAATAGCTGGCATAACATAGATATGTAGCCAATTTGAGCTTACTTTCTATGTGGAAAATTAATGTGCATGTGTGCTGAGAAAAGGCATTTTAGCTTGAAAGAAGGGAAATATTTTCCATAATTATGTTGACTGATAAGCATTTTTTAAAAATAGGAATTGAAAATAACTTTGATGAAAAATTCTGAATCACAGCCTTCTGCATCAGTCTTTAATTTAACTAGAAGAGAGACACAGGAAGAGAGACAGAGAGAGAGATAGAGACAGAGACAGAGACTTTAGACTGAGTAATCCATTATTTACAACACAAAAGTCATGATAACTTCCGAGGGGGCAATATTCAGTAATTTTTCCTGGGGTGGCTCCACTAGGAAATAATCTACTTTTAATAATCTACTTTCTTATTGTTATTATTCCTCAACAGGTCATGAATGCTAAATAAGACACTTGACCAAAACCTTTAAATATATATTTTAGTACTTCGCTACCTCTCCCTATTACGTCATGCACATATGACTTATTCTACTAAATTATGCATTCTGACACGTCCTTTCTCCATGTTTTCTTCATAACATTCCAGCCATAGGATGGTTTTATGCTTTAAAGTCTGGCAATCTTTCCTGGGAAGCTTTTCAAAATACAAAAAGATTCTGATGCAGTTTGCAAAAGGCATCCTATATTTTATTGTCCATAGGAACTGAATTAAAAGAAATGTTTGTAAATATGTTGTACTAACTCCACAGAAGGAATATAAACATTGTATACTACAATCGTATGCTAATAAAGAAAAAGAGAGAGTCCTATGGAGGGGGAATCATTTTCATATTAAAAATTCAACTCAAAAATGTTTTTTAAAATAAAAATATGACAAGACATTAGGTGAACATTCCATCTGCACTACAATTAGGGAGAACTTCAAGGGGAAAAGAACTAGCAACTAACATTATTATTTTTTGTGGTACTGGAAACTAACCCCAAGGGCTTTTCACTGACTGACAGCCCCAGTCCCTTTCATTTTTTTTTTTTAATTTGGAGACAGAATTTCACTAAG